AAGAAGCAGCCATGGGGCCTGGTCAAGTCCTTCATCACCAAAACTCCTGGAGCGGCATTGAAGATTATTTCCGACAGCTGGGTGAGTAGAGAGCCTTGTTGACAAAGTGTGGAGGCAGAGGAATGCACTTCCCTGTCTTCTTTCCTTTATTTAATCTCTGAAGTGTTTCCTCCAACACACCATGCTCTAATGCAGTGCTTCTCAAAGTGTGGTCCGCGGACCACTGGTGGTCCGTGATCGCCCCCTAGTGGTCCGTGAGTATATTGGTAACATTTCACATTTGAAATAAATAAATAAATGTAAGTTTTCCGCACTCTCGCGGGAATATCTCCGCAATGGAGCGAGCTTAAGTTTTACTTTCGATTGCATGATATAGCCCAGCGCAACACCTTCATCACACATGTTGCCACTTGTTTGTACAATCTTCAGGCGATTTGTAATCTGTTCTACAAAAAACTGTATTTTTGGATATTTGTGGAGTTAGGTGGTCCGCGAGTGTTTTTTTATTGGTTAAGTGGTCCTTGGTATGAAAAAGTTTGAGAAACACTGCTCTAATGCAATGAATTACTTTACCGCTGCTTTTGCAAGGAAGTATAAAAGCAATATAATGGGCTATTATCCAGTTTAAGTGATTTGTGCACTGAGCTTAGCATTAATTAGCTCAGTTTTCTGCAAAGGTTTCTAGGTTTTTCTGCTGCAATATGTGTCCAATCAATCATAGTGTTCTAGCCCTTCAACCTCTGCCCTATATTTGTGTTTGACTCTCTGGCCCTGTGTTGACTCTGAACAGAGGCAGAGCTGCTGGAGGAGGAAGCGGAGATGAATCAAGGAGGTGGAGACACGGGGAAGATAGGTGGTCTTCGGAGGAGGAGACGGACTTACAGCCGGCACCCTGCCCGAGCACATGAAGCCCAACAAGCAGTACGGGCAAGACCCCGAACAGCGCAGAGATAGCAACATGGGTACATGACGTCATACATGTATAAAATAAGGATTATGTTTGTTGAGGAAAATGATGCAACTCTAATGTCTGTGCGTGTTGAATATGAAGCTACAGCCAGGAGACAGTTTAGTTAGCATGAAGCTAGGTGACTTTATTGACCAGGGAGTCGCTGGTGCGCGAAAAATAAATGGTCTTAGGCATTAAACGCCATAAAAATATGATGTTCCTTTTTAACACTTCCCTTTTTGTACAAAAATAAACAAACACATTATTTGTTTAAACTTTAAAGCTGCTGCTAGGCAGGGTTGTTAACCTACAAACAGCCGAGACTAGCTTCTAGTCTTTAGCTAAGCTATGCTACTCCTTGCTCCAGCTTCATATTTAATTACCAGATAAGAGTATATACCCCTTTTTTTGTATGCACATGTTGTACTGAAACATCACACTATATAGTTTGAAGGCTGCTAGGTGAGATTGAAAAATGATCACACTTGTTCAAATATTTTTATGATGATGCTAAATGTGATTGAACTTGCGATTGTTCTACAATTCCCATTTTTAACATAACAAGCATATATATTTGAACCATGGAACATATTTCCTTAATCCGACTGATGTCAACTCAGTCGGTCAACTCAGAGACGATAGTCCATCAAAAATCTAATTTCTCTGCATTCTGTGACGAAGCCTTAAAAGATCAAATGTTATTGTGCAAGCTGCATGCCAGACAGCAGCAATGCTCCAGTGGACTTCTGTTACTCTCACTAGTTGCACCCTTGACACACCCACAACACGGCTTGAGTTTGTGTCTCTGCTGTTGCAAAAAAATAACAAAGAAATGGAACAACACACACTTTTTATAATGACTGCAGCCCAGGTTTTGTTTTCAAACAGCCCAAGCACATTTAAAAAAAGAAAATCTCTTATTTATTGAACTGTTCTGTTTGTATTTCAGGCCCCATAGAAATGAACAGCCCCGAACGGATGGAGCTCCACAACATAGTGATTGGGATGAGTTTTGATGTAAGTTTACCGACCTGAAAGCATGTGGTTTGTATTGTGTAAATGTGTCTCTTGAGTCATTGTGCAGTCAGATGAAATCTGTTTTCTTCTCTTACAGTTTGCTGATTCTGACGTTGATGAATCTGGGTCTGTTTTTCAAGTTGTGGCCATGGAGGGACGTAGCACACCGCGATGTACCTGAGCACCAAGCAATCGGCTGAGGGAGAGAGGAACGAAGCCCGGTCAGATAGCTTTCTGTTGCTTTTTGCACAATATATATTTATACCCCCTTCAGTTATCACGTGTCAGACGGTAGCTCAATTACAAGTTGACACAATCACACAGGAAGCAGACGCTTCTAATGTGGGAGGAGAGGGGGGGGAAGGGGTTAGTCTTCCTCAATTTTTTCTTATAAGACACTCATTTATGTGTTTGTACGGCGACCTTGAGAGCCTTGAAAGGCGCTTATATAAAATAAATGTATTATTATTATGAGAGCTCTTATCTAATGACTCATGTTGAACCTGTCTGTTTAATTACATTAGTTATGTAAGTGACATCATCTTGCTCCTTCCCCTTTACCCCTCCTCTTACCTGTGCTTCACTTTGTGACTGCCTCAGTTGTTGTGCTTTTTTGTGTTTGTCGTTTATTTAATCAATACTTTCTTATTTTGTTGTTTGGCAGCTTGGCCCCTGATTATATGCCCAGACAGGGACCAGAGTACCAGAGCAGAGAAGATGCACAGCTGCTAAAAATGTCCTGCAGGACTCCATCAACCTATTAGAAACAGGTAGGACAAGCTGGACTGCACAATACAAACTGTTTTCTTTGCATAAAAGTTCATCATATGCTTTTGGAACGTTTGTCTTGGTAGTTCGGGAAGCAGATGCATGCAGCTTGAATGTTTCTATCTCCACAACCAGTGGGAGTCCATCACATTAATTCATAGCTGTTAGTGGCTGTTCATCCAATATATAGCAATTCAAGTATATGCAAAAACCTAAAGCAGGTGTTGAGTCATTTCTATTTCTTCTTCTTCTCCTCTCAGCTCCCGCAGCTCCTCTTGGTGCTGCACAAGAACTTTGCTATGGCCAATCATACGGCAGCCCCCCAGTGATGCTCCTCACCTGGGCGTCTGCAGAGATCCTGGCCCTGTGGGGAGGATAACAAAGGACTGCGGGTAGTGAGATGCCTCTGAGGAAATCTCTGTGATGTTTCCATGTTGACCGTCCCCAGACTCCTGACATGAGTTCCCAGGAGTGAGACGTCCGGGGCGGGGCATCAAAAGCAAGGATTGTGGACTAACAGCTGAGTCGGACACACATGGATCACTATTTCCTTAAACAGTGGCGTTGGATATCAGAAAAAGCCTTCTTTATTGTGCCTCCCTCTCCTCTGATGAGCCATGCCACACCAAATGAGCTATTGTACAAAGTTTTATTTTCGTTTAAGTGATTTAATATTATTTAAAACCTATTTTCTCTATTACATTTTTGCATATTTAAATTTTTGCACAGGTGCCTTGTAGGTTAGGCTGTGTTTTAGATATATTTGTAGGTAATTTCCTTTTTTATAAGAATAAATATTTAGAATCAGTGATGATTTATCTTGTTTATATTATGTACACTGCAGGAAACATTAAAACGGTAAAATAATCTGAGTTTTTATTATACTGTTTATGAGCCAAATCAGGTGTTCAGGAAGATACTGTTTTTTCATCTTCCTAGTACAGGTGTTATCACTCTTGTTTAAATACTCGGTGAAGGGTCGGTGATGCTGTCTCAGGTCATCTCAGCACTATCTTACTGTCGACACTAAATTACACTCGTTCTGTGATTTCTCTAATGTTTCCCACACACCACTACTTTAGCTTTGAGCCTTGTTTGATGTTTACAGTGTTTCAATCACCCATATCTGTGTGTTTCTGCAGACCACCACCAAATGATTTGTACATATGTAGCAATAATGCTGTTTTAATAAACAAGATTTCTCGCCAAAAGTGAATCTCGAAGAGTCAAGTTTTATACATTACAACAGATTATTAATGTCAACAACAGCAGAAGACATTCTTTTATTTTCTTTGACAACCCAACAAGATAGTTTACTTTATTTTTAGAAATATCAGACGCTGGAATCATCAACATTTAGCCCATTTTTACTTGCAAACATGAATCAGAATACAGAGAGAATCTGCATACTAAAAACAACTAATGATCATAGGATATTAAATAGTAATGCTTTCCTTTGATTTGGGAATAACCTGTTCCGACCTTTGCCCGGGACAAAGGGAAATAACCCTTTCTCTCTTTTTTAAACATCTGGTTACACTAAGGGCACTGGGAAGTATTTAATTCAATCAGGATTACTGATTATTGTTTTTGTTTGTTATTTATAAGGCTGGTAGGAATGTCCTGTACTCTGCTGCTGGATCAGAAATGGAAAAAACTTAGCCAAAAGTGTCTTTGTTCCTTCATCACAGGTGAAATACAACACTGTCTTTAATTATTTACAGGTGGCAAGTCCTTATTTACTCCAGGAGGAAATACTATAGTATATGTCAGTCAGTCTATCGGCAGTAAGGTCTCAGTTGTGTACAGGATGGTGTTTTCCCTTTAGTGGCCCCAATTAAGTTGTATTGTTATATCTAGTTTTGCCAAGTTACTTAGTAGACTATATTTATTCAGCAGTATGTGGAATGTATAATATTATTCATACAATTGAAATAGGCTACATCAATTATTGTTCCTTGCAAATATCCTTCTCTTATGAATAGAGAAATACAAATTGAGTCGTAAAAAGAGTGCAGTCTGAAATCCTATTTTATTTTATTCGGTATTTACTACAAAGTCATTTAGGACTCACCTATAGCAAGAAGTGACATAATTTTTTTTTTTCACAATTTACGTCTTCAGTGTATATGAAATAGTTAAAAACACATATAAACAAATAAAATAGGCATGATCTCATGACTAACTGGGAGGTCCAATCATGACGTCATGACGTAAACTGTTTGGGGGCGTGGCCACATGACGTCTCCCTCACCTCCATCAGCGGAACCGGATCCGGACCAACCGATAGGACCAAACCCGGTGTAAGACCCCTCTAACAGGGACCGTTTTAACACAGACCGGTCTCTATCCACACCTGCGGTTTTTCTGGAGACTTCCACCGCCCACTGAGGGTCATGTAGCTCAGAGTAACCCCGATTATAGCAGCTGTTACCGGGGAGAAGACTTCCGTAGAGAAGCCCGGTGTTGTCAAAGCACCAGCATGTGTAGGTAACGCTTTTAGCATTTGTTGTGTGTTTCTGCTGCCACATTTAAGAGTTTTTAAAGCAGTTGTGTGTTGTCAGGTTTGATACGTGATAATATGGGTCAACTGTGACCTGCAGACGGGCTGTCAGGAGACGTTAAATATAAATAACATACCTGTCAACTCAAGAAAAGCATAATAGTTCATGTATAAGAGCAATATTTGTATTTGTGGTGTAGGGAAATGAAGTGTATGGGTAAAAAGTATTCTACGAACCTTAATATGTTAACTAATATGTCCAATGTCCTGTTCATAATGAGCCGGCCTGACTGAATCCATGTCAACTTTTATGTTGACATGACAGTTATTGAGATTAAAGGGGAACGTCACCTCAAAATACATTTAAAATATTTAAAAGATATAATAAGTTATAGTTTCATTTGAGCTGAATTTCTAATAAACAGTACATTAGAGAGGTTCCGCAGCATTAAGAGCAAAACAGCCAGATTCTGCAATAGCTTTTAGCAAGTTTTTATATTGTCCTGTAAGCCAGTACAACACTCTGTGTCTTGTTGAAATGACAATAAAGTATGTCTATGTCTATCTATTAAACCCAGGGCTTGATAATGGTCCTGTGAGGCCCTAAAAGCACCCAGGGGCCCAGTCGTCCCATATGGAGGGTCATGCTGAACAGGAATCCTTTGATATAACCTGTAAAGGACTTTTTTAAATGACAGTTAAAGGTAACTTTCTCAAACACTTTACAGGTAAATCTCTTGAAATATGACATATTCATCATCCTGAGCTGGAATCATCATTAGTGATTAATTAGCTGACTACTTTAATGATTGAATATTGACTGTTTTGTCTATGAGATGTATGAAAATAGTAAAACAAAATCACTATTTCCCTCTACTTCCAAAGCCCAATGTGTCATGTTTTTAACCACTTTTTTGAAACCTAAAGGCACTCAGTTAACTATCACATACAATTAAGAAAAGCAGAACATTCTCACAACGTAAAAGCTTAAAGTACCAGCTATCAAAATAGCTGCACATTCATTGTCTGTCTTCCTACTGAGCTACATCCATCCTTCCTGCAATTCAATATATTTTGGGAGCCCTGCAGCATTTGCAAAAATGGTACCGTAGAGAATCCCTTAGTGTTAGGAGAGAGCTGCTGAACTCCACTGTCACGCTGAGTTCTTTTTTGTGTAAAGGAGCAGATGTGTTAGTGGATGCTGAACACATTTATCAGTACATGCAGCCGTTTGTTTTCTCTTTATAGACTTTACTTCAAAGTTACCTTGAAGAACTCACCAGGTAAATGGTATTGACCTTTTAACCAACATCTGAGGACTTATACTAAAACACAATGTCACGCTTTGATTGATTGCTAATCAGAGGCTCATTTAACAGCGCCAGATCCCCAGAGAGGTCTAACTGAGCCGAAGCATTAATCCCACTTTGCCTGTGCTCGGAGATGAAGGGGACACTGAAGACCGGTGATTGTTATAAATGCTTTCAATACCTCTGCTCAGATCCATCAGAGGCGTGCAAATAAGCCAGCAGCGGTGGGACGGTTCAGCTCATCAGTAAAGCTTGGCAGATGTGGGACAGATGTGAGGGTGAAAGGTGGACTGGGTAGGGTCAAATAGGCAAGGTCTGTTCGCAATGTTGCATGGTGGAAATCTGTTACAGTACGAGTCTTTTACTGTGGTTTTATCTATAACACAACTGTTGATAATGGTTCTAATGTTTTCTTTATAGGCTGTAAGGCTGTCCATCATGAAGAAGCGTGGTAAAAAGCATCTGGAGGAGGAGGAGACGTTGTGCTGCTGCGAGTATGTGAACAGACTGGGGGAGCGCAGCCATGTGGCCGCCTGCTGCTGCGACTGTGAGGACCTGGACGATGCCTGTGACCGGTGAGGGACATGTCCATCTATATTTACATGTACAACTGATCCATTACTTATTTTTTTCTCTATGAAAAGTGAGGAAACAGTCACATTTTGTCCATCACAGTTATTTAAAGTGCTTGTTTTGTCCGATCAACAGCCTGAAATTCAACTATATTCAATTTACAATGATATTAAATAGCAGAAAACATGAAATCCCCAAAGTGGAGAAGCTCGTACCAGCAAATGTTTGACATCTTTTAGCTCTGCGTGGCAAAAACAATGTTTGGTCGGTCGATCAGTAGTCGACCGCTTTGATCCAAACTGAAAATATCTACTATTATGCTTTTTGGGTTTTCCCTGTCCTGTAGTGCGTAACATAGGTTTCTGTGCACAAAATATGAACCTGAAGATCATCAGATTACGCCCTCTTCAAGTTTTTCCTTCCTCTTTCAGGTTTCTAAAGAGGGAGTCTCAGAAACCCGAGTCCCTGTCTCATGTGGCTGCAGTTTTCACAGACCGGATCCGAGTGCCCTGGCTGTGGGGGGGGGCTCGCAGAGTGGAGCTGTCCGTCATCCCTCCTCTCATCCTCCTCCCGGTGCTTCTTCACATCGCTGCCCTCCACTTCCTGCTGGGCGTGGGTGTCTCTGATCGCTCTGCCCGGCCTGGTGCTGTGGTACTACTACTCCACCCACCGCAAGAAGGGCCGCACGCTGTTCTTCCTCAGCCTCGCCCTCTTCTCCATCGGGTACATGTACTTCTTGTTCCTCACCGAGGTGCTTCCCCGCGGGGATTTTGGTCTCATCCAGCCGGCTGTTGTAACTTTAGGGGTCATACTCACCCTGGCGGCGCTTTTCCACACTAAGAGAGACCCTGGCATCGTGCGGCTGAACCTAGAGGACGTCCACAGCACGGTGACGTATCACAGCCCTCTGGCAGAGAGAGACTCTGCTGTGAATGGGGGGAAACACGACGTGACGATGACTGTAGCCAACAGGGCGGAAACGGCGAAGCAAGGGGAGGCGGATCTGCAGGAAAGCGGCCATAGGAACTGGTGTCCCGTGTGCAAAGTGGTGAGACCCCCGAGGGCGGGACACTGTCGGATCTGTGGCGTCTGCGTCCGGCGTCTGGACCACCACTGTGTCTGGTGGGTCCCCTCACAGAGCCTCTCACTCCGCCTGTCTTCACTGATTCTCCCTCTCTGTCTCACATCTCAAACTCTGAGGTCTTCTTGTTTGTCGTCTGCTCGTCTTTTCTGCACAAGTTTTTCAATAAATCTAAAGACTGAATGGGTGTTTGTCCTGGTCACACCTGTTGTGTCTTTATTAGCCATATTTGTGTGTTGTGTCAGCATCACACTGATTATTTGCAGCTACTATAAACAGTTTCCTGCTTTCATCCTATGTGTTTAGTGTACGATGTAAGATGTTTTGTCAGCCTGTGTGTGTACTTGTGTGTTTGTGCGTCTCCTCCCTCGGTGCCGGGCAGGATAAACAGCTGTGTGGGGCTGGCCAATCACCGCAGCTTCCTGCTTCTGCTCCTCCTCTTCCTGTCGACGTCTCTGTACGGGATCGGCCTGGTGCTGCGGAGCGTGTGTCCGGATCAGCTGCTCCTCACCGCCCTTCTGTACTGCCCCGGGGTCTACGACCAGTACAGGTACTAAGAAACACTCTTTGAACACTCTGGGCTGTAACTTTAAAGGGGACCTATCATGCAAAATGCACTTTGTGATGTCTTTTATACATAAATGTGTCCCCGGTGTGTCGGGGAACTCACGCAGCGTCAGAAAATAAAACCCTCTCTCTTTTCCTCCGTACCCACATCTCTAAAAACGGGGGAACAACGGAGCTGATCCAGATTTGCGTCCGATATGACGTAATATCTGAAATGTGGACCCGCAGCCCAATCAGAAACGTTGCTATCAGAAACAATGCCCGACTGTTTTGGACGTAATATGGTCGGTGTTTACATTAGCATCGCTAACACTCAGAGCTAACCTGTACTGGAGAGCATGTGTGTGAAGAAGCAGGAAGTAAAAAGGAACTCACCTTGTGGTATAACCGGCAAGAGAGAAAGCCTTTGAGCTCCAAACTGTTTCAGATCCTTGATAATAATAATAATAATAATAATAATACATTTAATTTATATAGCGCTTCTCATCTGCCAAGACAAATCTCGAAGTGCTTCACAACAAGGGATACTGATACACTTTGAGAGATTAAACAAATAATTGTAATAATAATAAGAAATCAAAAAATAAAATATAAAGTATAAAATAGAGTACAAAAATAAAAGTCGGAGATATCGATAAAAATGGCAGTACTCCAGGTGTACCATGCTCAAAGTTTATTGGAAGGCCTGCCGAAAGAAGAGGGTCTTAAGGCCGGTTTTGAAGACCTCGGTGGAAGGGGCAGATCTCAGCTGATCTGGGAGGGAGTTCCAGAGGCGCGGGGCGAGTGAGCAGAAGGCTCGGTCTCCCATTGTTCGGAGACGTGTGCGGGGGATGTAAAGAAGAGGAGCGTGGCTGGAGCGGAGAGAGCGGGTAGATGTCTGGGTATGGATGAGGTCACAGAGGTATTTTGGGCTTTGTCCATTCAGGGCTTTGTACGTGAGGAGCAGAACCTTAAACTGGATTCTGTAGTGGACCGGGAGCCAGTGTAGTTTTGCAAGTATGGGGGTTATGTGTGCGGACCTTTTTGTACCGGTGAGAACTCTGGCTGTGCTGTTCTGGACAAGTTGCAAGCGGTTGATGGATTTGGCTGGGAGACCGGAGAGGAGTGCATTGCAATAGTCTAGTCTTGAGAAGACGAGTGCATGAACCAGTTTTTTGATGTCATCAGTTGAGAGTGAGGGCTTCAGTCGGGAAATGTTTTTCAGGTGAAAGAAGGAGGTCTTGGTGATGTGTTTGATGTGGGCTTGGAAAGACAGAGTGGGGTCAAACCTTACACCGAGGTTGGTGACAACGGAGGAGAGAGGAATGAGCTGACCATCAAGGGAGGGGCTGATGTTGGCGGCCTTGGCAAGCTGGTCAGTGGTGCCTATCAGGATTGCCTCCGTCTTGCTGCTGTTGAGCTGAAGGTAGTTGGTGGTCATCCAGGAGCGGATGTCTTCCAGGCAGGTGTTTGGATAGTGGTGGTATTTGGTTGTGTTTTGATGTAGACCTGAGTGTCGTCGGCATAGCAGTGGAAGTTGATGTTATGTTGTCTGATGATATGACCCAGAGGTAATAGATAGATTAAAAACAGGATCGGCCCCAGCACTGAGCCCTGTGGGACCCCGCATGTCACTGCGGTGTCGTCAGACCTGGAACCCCCCAGAGACACGTGGTACTTCTGGTTGGTGAGGTAGCTTGAGAACCTCTTCAGAGCCATGTCCGTCACCCTGGTGTAGGTCTCGAGGCGGTGGAGGAGGATGGTATGGTCCACTGTGTCGAAAGCCGCACTCAGGTCAAGAAGGACCAGGATGCTGGGTGACCCAGAGTCGGCTGCCATCAGTAGGTCGTTGGCTACTTTTAATAATATAATCCATGATATGGCGTTTCCTCACGGCAGCATTTAGTTAGACAGTAGCTGCCGGGTCCCGCATGAGCTCAGACCCCTCTTTTTTTATTAATCAATTTTTTTAAGCTTTCTACCAAAATCAGCACTTTTGAAACAGGAAGTGAAATAGAGGGATATGAGGCGTGGCTAGAATGGGTGATCTGTTTGGTATTTCGAGCAAAACACTTCGTAGACATGTTTTTTATATATTTCTATATATCTGAGACCTATGCTATTGCCTACAAATAGCATGATAGGTGACCTTTAACATTAAAGTCACTATTTACCTTATTCTGAAGCTCCATTAGTCTGCTCTGCTGAGACAGGTTTTTGCCACAAAATGACTCAATCCCCGTGAAAAACGCTTTATTGTGTTGTTGCTTTACCCTAAGGCTGAACAGAATAGTCAGTCAAAAAGTCAACAATTATTGAAAACAAATAAAGATATAACTATTTTCTAAATTAAAAACATAAGCAATAAGCTTCAATCAATATTTGTTTCAAAAACAAGAAACTTGCTCTTGCCCATCAAATATCTTCTGCAGTAGCACTTAAACTGGTTGGGTTTATAGATAGGAAATGTACCTGCAGGATTCATGCTTTTGAGTTGAATGCACTTTTTGAAAGTCGCTTTGGATAAAAGTGTATTCAATGTAAAGTCATATTACATATTGTACTCTGCACACCACAGAGCACTGACATATGTATTGACCCTCTGGTCTCTTGTCTGTGTTCCAGCGCTGCGCTGTGCTTCACCTGTGCGTGGTACAGCAGCATGGTGTCCTGCGGGCTGCTCCACCTGCTGCTGGTGCAGATCATCAACGTCAGCTTCAACGTGACGGAGCGCGAGGCCCGTCTGGCCCTGAGAGAGAAGACCGCTCGCAGCTCCTACTGGGGGCTCGTCGTGGACACCGGGGTCTACTCTCGAGGTTTCCGTGAAAACTGGGCTGAGTTCATGAGCATGGGAGAAAAACTGAATCCCCCAACCCCCCTCCCCACAGACCTGGTGTAAGAGACGCTGATTTGAAGTTCTTGTTCATGTCCACTGGATGGCAGCATGGCTTCTTTCACTTCTGATATCTTCTCACTGCAGTTATTACATTTCAAGAAAACATACATTCTCTTCCCGTAATGTCACTCACAGCTGGTATCTCCTCCATGCAGCTGTTTGACCTTTACACCTGTCATCCATCTCTCTGCCATATAAGATACAAAGCATTCCTGCACACCGCCTGTCGTCCCAGGACTTCAATATTGTCTCTATGTCTCCTCTACACTCTAGTGCCTTGCTGGGAGACGGACAAAAACGAGACTGAGTAATGTGTCCTGCTTCTCGTGGAGACGTTTTCTCGGCAGCAGCACAATGACGACGAGTCCCGCACAAAAACACCGACTGGACGTTCTTTTTCTCCAGGAACTTTTCACAAAAACTTTTATCAGCCTCACTCGGACTTGGATATTTGTCGCGGATGAATTAAACATCTCAGCAGCTCATCAGGCTGATTAAAGTGTTACAGCTTGCATTAATCACAATGATTGATTGGTTAGTTATAAATATATGAGCAGCTACGTTTTATATCAAGCTGGTTCGAACTCCTGAATGGACCAGCTCTGGGAATATGAAAAAAGTGAATATACACATAAATGTCACCTTGAGAAGTTTCCACTATCGCTGCTTTTATTAGAGCCATTTCCTCCAAAAGTTCTATGGGTCCAGGTACATTTTTTTTGTATTAAATGAACGTGAGAACGGTGCAGTCTGTGCTTCCTCTCCAGGGCTTTGAGGATGTGTGAATGGATCTTCTTAGTGTGTGTTTCTCCCGGAGGCTTCACGGTGGATGTGAGCAGAAGTCGGGCAAGATGGCAGCCACTCTTCGTCCCAGCTTCTGCCGCCTCTCCTCCCTCAGCCTCTCCCTGCGCTGCAGACAGGGAAGCTGCCTCCAGGCCTGCAAACATCTCCGCAGCACCCGTCTGAAGAGGCAGGCAGATGGAAGAACAGACGGGGAAACAAGTGAGCAATGAGAAACTGAATCGTAGCGACCTGTGGGATCACAACACCTAATGAGTTGTCACAGCTTATTTACCTGCAGGCCGTGCTCATTTATCGGACCACACCTGAGAAGTCTATAAACACATTCTGCGTCAATGAGGGAGAATTAAATCGAGTTAGAGCAGTGCTACAGACATCCTTAATTTAGTCCACAATGGGACACAGAATAATGCTCGTATGAGGCGTATTCACAACCTGAATGTGTTCGCTGGTTAAAATGTATTATTTAGAGGATGCAATCTATTTAAATGGAAATGGAAAAAGCCACAAAACAGACTTTTTAGCGTTGCACTGCTTCTGTGTCGGTGCATCACTTTGCTCACTCTGAAATATGTAGTATTGGGTGGTTCGCCAGCACATTAGTATCCACAGTGCCCAGAGGAACCATCTTTAGTGATCCCAGACCTTCCTCATGTGCCATCAGCAAGACAAAGCCCCCATTTATCCAGAGAATATCTCAACCCCAACAAGATAGATGGCAAAACTGACATTTATGGTTCCAAGACAATGAACCCTAATAACTTTGATGATTTGCTCACTTTTCTTTTAGCACTCTATGTGGTTTTAAGGTGAAATGTCTTCACAATGAGTTGTTGGAGACAAAGTTTTATTACGGAAAATACTTTTCATTAATTACCCTGACTAAGCAAGCTTTAAACCCCACGCTTTTCCTGCTAGTTCAGCCGTATTGAAGTTTCTACCACGGCAGCCAAACCCCCAAACTGACTCCATTAATCAAAATATGAACACTTCCAGCTAACAGCAGATTTTAGGCACTGATTTTATAGTTTTAATATAATGCAAAGGAGGTGCAGGTTGAAGACAATGCACTGCAAAATGTCTTACACTGTTTAATGCTGGTAAATGTTGTTAAAGGGGCCTTATTATACAAATCTTTAGGTTCATATCAGTGTCTCTACTGGGACATGTCTCCATGCTTTAATGTTCAAAAAGCTCTTTCTCATACTGCCAGTCTGCTCTGATTGGTTAGCTGGCTGTCTCTGTTGTTATTGGTCAATAGAAGCGCAAGTGTTACATAGTGATGTCACTATGTTTTCGAAGTAAACAAAGGTACTGAAGTGTGCCGATCGGATAAGTCACTAGCAGCACCCCCCCCCCCCCCCCGTTGACAATTTACTAGCGGTATTTACTAGCGGTACGGAGGTGGGCCAGTCTCGAGAGTCCCGGGCTGATTTTTAGTCCCAGTCCGCCCCTGATGGGGGGGGGGGGGGAAGTGTGTGGGAGCCTTTGACATTGAAGCCTTTGCAGACCATTTACATGCACTAACACCTGTATAACACACCAGAGGAAAGGGAAAACCCCAACAAGTATAATAGGGCCTCTTTAGAGTGAAATAACTGGGCATTGTGTGTTATTCTGGCCAACTGTAGCCAAACTGCTTTAGCGATGCATTTCGTCTCGTCGTTAATCAAGCAGTTAATTTGACACGCTGTTATCGCTGCAGCATGAACACAGTGAACATATGGTAGAGTCACGGACCTGTCATTGTGCTCCTGACGGTCCCTCTGCAGCAGCCTCTCCTGGGTCACATGGTCCAGCAGCGCCAGCAGAAACCTCCTCAGAGTGCGAGCGCGGTGGAAACGCTCGGCTCTCTCCTCCTGGATCATCCTCCAGTCCATCAGCTGAAACACACACACCAACGCTCACTCAGAGATAGGCGGCATTTTCTGCTTTGTTAGCAGCAAAACAACTGTTAGTAAGTAAGTGGTGAGGTTGGCACTAGCTTTAACAAGAAAACCATTATTTTTTGATTGAGTGTGGGGAGAGGAGATTAGGAAAAGGCGATACTCTAAATCACCGGCAGAGGATGGGGAAGCTGAAATCCTGATTGAATAACCGTGTGTGTGTGTGTGTGTGTGTGTGTGTGTGTGTGTGTGTGTGTGTGTGTGGTGTGTGTGTGTGTGTGTGTGGTGTGTGTGTGTGTGTGTGTGTGTGTGTGTGTGTGTGTGTGTGTGTGTGTGTGTGTGTGTGTGTGTGTGTGTGTGTGTGTGTGTGTGTGTGTGTGTGTTGTGTGTGTGTGTGTGTGTGTGTGTGTGTGTGTGTGTGTGTGTGTGTGTGTGTGTGTGTGTGTGTGTGTGTGTGTGTGTGTGTGCACACTCTTTTCCAGCGACTTAAGCTCCTCCGAAGCAGAAAGTGCCGGTGCAGTCGGTCAGCGCGAGCTCCTTTCTGAGACGAGGACTCTCTCGCTGATTGCTGCCAGCGCAGTGTGCTCCGCCTCAGGAGGGAGAGATTGTGATGAGTGTCAGCCAGCTGGCGGGAATTGAAAAGAAAAGTGTTGGTGCACGCTGATGAAGGCATCCAATCTCAATCATATGGGTCAGGCAGAAACAATGGATCGCATGTCTTCGAATGCATCTCAGATTTAACAAGAGGGTGCGTATCCATGTATGCACAGAGAGTATTGAAGCTGTGCAGAGAGGGGGTCATTGTGAAGATGAAACAACACTTTTATTTAGAGATTTTCTATCTGCCTCGTTGAGTGGTGGCTTTCTCTGTGATTTTCCCAGTATATAAGTGCTGTGGGGTTTTTGTGCGTTTTATACGTTTGGGACAACATCATAGGACAATAAAAAATGCACGTATAATCCTCTTTAAATCATTCAAATTCAACACATATTGTTCTTTATACTCAGAAATAATGAAATAACTGAACAAGCTTCTTAGTGTGAGGAAATGATGTCGCATTATGTCCACCACTCGCCTTGAGATGATAAAGAGCCTTTCACAGTCACATTGAAATTGAAGTGAATGTTAAGCTTTTTTATTATCCAAACCCACAGAGTCTACCTGGACTTCTCCTTTGGCTTAATGCAATTCTGCGGGAGCCTGTGATATAATGGAAAAGCCTGAAGCGCTATTTGCACAGATTTTCTTTTTCTAATAGGATTTAAAAAATGAAAGGTCAGGCCAGGGTCACCCAGCACCTTTCTTAAATGTTGAGTCAGAAGCCTGTGGCGGTTCAAATGTGTCTGACGGCTGAACACAGGTGCTTCACCTTTATGTTGGCCCGTTGGAGCTGAATGAAGCGTTTCCATGGCGCCAGGCCTCGCCGCAGCAGCAGGTTTTTGAGGTAGTGTTGACGGGCGATAGAGAGGAGCTCCTGTTGCCTTTTCAGCTGCCTCTGTTTCTCCTCTTCCCTCTGACACACAGGAAGCAGGGACTTTATTCATTAGATTTGTATATCATACAAAAATAGGAGAAGTTAAAACCTTTTCCTCTGTATGATACAAGGAAATCATTTGATAACCTTATGCATAAAAGAAAAGACACAGACACTGCATCTACGTATCCTCTTGAAAATTAGCTAGATTTAGATCCTTTAGATCCTAATTTAAGCTTTGTTAGTTCCAGGTTTAATATGTGCAATAAGTTCATTTCAATAAGTTCTGCAATAAACATTGAACCGGCCCGGCCCTCGACTAGTATCCATTTTTTAATTTTGGCCCACTGTGTATTTGAGTTTGACCCTCCTGCTTTAGGTAATCAATGAAGGGCCTCCATATGTTCTCAAACACGCCGTCTACTACTTTAATATAGGACATCTTCTCCAATGGGAGGCCTGACAGCATCCATCGCAACCAATGAGTGATACTTGGACTTTGAGCCTTTGGCGTAGAGCAAGCTGAGGTCTTTACATGTTCGCTCTAGTTTACTATATGCTTCTAATGATTTAAACCCAACAGTGGGTCCAGTGAATCTGCTTTGAAATGATCTAAGATTATTTAAATGTTTCGCTACTACATGTCGCTCAGTGTCACTACTTCCTGTGTTCTCGCAACTGCGTCCACAAATCGTGAGCCTCACCTCTCGTTCCTGTCTTCTCTCGTCCCTCTTCCTCTCCGCTGCGTGGCGTTTCTCCTCCTCCTCCTCCCGCTGCCTCTGCTCCTCGGCGGCTTTCATCTCAGCCTGGAAACAAAGTCAAATGTAATTATTGTTTCCTAATATCGTTCCCGACAATCCCTCCTCGCTACTCATCCTGCAAAACAAAACAGTCTGGTGAACAGCTCATTCATCTTTTACCAGTTTTTCATCCTCCTTTTTTCGCCTGAGTTCCTCGATGTCCTTCCTTCTCTCCTCGCGTTGGCGTGCACGCTCCTCCATGGCTTCAAAGAGCAGGAGAGAGGTCAGTTAAGCACAAGGTATTCCTATGTGACACAGAGTCTCAGGAGTGTATATGATTATGTATGTTCTCACATTCTGAACGCGTAACTCCAAGTGCTTCAATTGTACAGCTTTTGTATGCATATGTGACGTCGCCTTATGCGCGATGCAAGGTCATGCATTTTCCCTCACAAGAGAGCTACGGCGTTGTGTGTTTGGGTTAACATAATGTACTTTTGAATATATGTGAGTTTGTGTATGTCGTCCTCCGCTTTATCAGGACTGACCCGTGATGATTTGACAGGGTCGAGTCTGCTGTCTGACGGCCTTCTTTGAGGAGAGGCTGGCGGGTTCTTCAGTCGTCCTCAGTGTCCTGTAAAGGTAACAGTCGGAAGCTCAGAAACAAAGGCCTGTCACAGCTGTCTGCACATTCACATATTCCTGAAGCAAATTGTATTCAGACAGGTATCGGCTTTAGGCAACCTCAAGCGACATTCATTCATAAATCTGTGAATGGATTTCCGTGAAGGGTAGAACTTTTACTCATGGAAACAGTGTTCAAGGTTGTGTTCTGTAATCCCATTTCTATCTAATTACAGCAACCACGCATTTTCAATTATATTCCGTGCTCTCTGAGCTGGAAAAGCGTTCTGTATTTTCTTTGTACCTACACCTTGCTTTTAATAAGGAAAGATATAACCGATAACCCCATTCCACCTCCTGGAAACAATAACTACCAGACATTTTATACGTAACTTTATTGTTTCTGTATGATATCCTTTCCACCCCCGAGGTGCAGGGAACATTAGACTGCAGTGTGGAAGGAGAACGGAGCTAATGCAAGTGATTTTTCATCATCTGAAGACAGTTTTAGAGCGAGTTCATGTGGGGCATGGAGGTATGGGAGCAGTCAGTGTGAGTGTCCAGGGGTTGCTGGGAGGGAATTGAATGGACAGGCCGAGAATATACACACCATATAGTTCCGCACATGCACCTCCACGTTCCCACACTCATGTCAAAGCTTTCAGTATTACATTATTGGGCTTTTTCATACAATCTGAGTCATAAATGATTTTTATGGCACAATAAACAAGGTGCCAAAAAAAAGGAGTCACTACAACTTTAGATTTATACCAACTGGATCGACTTTGTTGCTCAAATTTGTACCACTTTCTATGAGTATTTCCCTTTTATTCAAAAAGTTGAAACCAGTGGCTTTATTTTAACAGTTCAAATTCATTTAACGTTGACTTTTGAATCAGTTATAAGCCATGACTGAAGTCCACATGACCTTCTAGAAAAGTCCCAAAGGACATTTCGACACCCATTAATTATTCACATTTTTAACCACTAACTTGTTTTATTTACCTTTTTTAATTATGACTGATAAACATTATGAAAGGAACTTTAGCATGGACTTTTTTTGGAACGTGTCACAGTTGACGTTTAGGCTTATTTAGTTGCTACGGTGGCTTTCAACTGAACAATAAGGCCGTAGTGAATGTGGCAAATAAAAGCCATTAAATAAAAAACCCTTATATTCCACATTTCTCCCTGGGCCTACCTCTGCTCTGTGGGCTCAGAGTGGTTGCTCTTTGGTCTGGATTCTGCTGTCATTACTAGCTGTGTGAGCTGTGCAGTTTTCTCCATCTCCAGCTCCAGCCCCGCCACGCTCTGCTCGTCCCTCAGCCGTGAGATCTGCTCCTGCTGCTCCTTCAGAAGCCTCCTCTGCTGGGAGATGATCTGCTGCTGCACGGCGTGTCTGTTCTCGAACCTGCTGCCCGACACCGCTGCGCTTTTTGGCCCGGAGAAGCTGCCGTGGAGCTCTGAGGCCGAGGGTGCTGCATGGCGTCGGGTCACCTGCCACGGCTGAGCTGGCTGGACCACAACACCCACAGGCGTCTGATTTCGATGTACGGAAGAGTCTTCTGGGGCCAACCTTTTTGACCTGGGGTGACCTTCCTACAGAGGGGAAACCAGAACAGGTATGAAGATGGTATTGTTTATGAAAAAAATCCTCCCTTAGGTCTGAAAACCCAAAATAAATAACACAAATAGAGTACCACAACATTGGCTTGACTCCAGGAATCCTGATATATAAGCTGCGGGGCCCGAGAGGCTTGTACAGCCTCTTTATTGACCCCTCAACAATGAACTGCTCCAGCTCAATCTTATGTTCTGCTTCCTCCGTCCCTGGAGCTCTGTTCCACTATTCTGCACCTCTTATTGCTCTCTAGCCTTCCCTTCCCCTATATGTACACCGCTCTGCTCTCACTCTCCAGAGTTGTGTATATTTTAGCAGGAAAAGTTTTTCTCCCTGGTTGAAATAGTGATAAAAAGTTTCAGATCAAGATTCAAATCCAGTGCCTCAGTAATTTTAGCCTTTCGCATCACCTCAATTGTGATTTTCTCACCTTCTCAGTGATCCCCGGTCGTTTATGTTCCGCTTGTGGCTCCATGATTGGCTGAAAAGTTGGGCTCTCTTTGGCCTTGAGTTTGCCTGTTGATGCAGCATTTATTAAGGCAGCCATCTTGCTCCGGGTCTCCTGCTGCTGGGCCAAAAGCTCTCGTTTTTCCTTCTCCATCCGACACCAGAGCTGCCAATTATTCAGACATCTCCAAAGCAGCCGCCTGCGGTCACTCTCCACAGCCAGCTGGCATTGTCTGGAGGAAACCATCAATTAGTGCTTGGTTAGCATAACAGGGATCAGTGAGGGTCAACGAGAAATACTGTTTTAATGTGGGTTTCAAAGAGGCCCTATTATGCTTTTTTGGGGTTTTCCATTTCCTGTAGTGCATTATATAGACAGAGTATTGTGCCAGCGCTCCAACACATTGTACATGATAGGCTAACTTAGCAGTGTTAATTTAGTCAACGAAAACTATGACGAAAAATCAACGTCAACAACCTTTTTTACATGACTAAGACGAGACGATGACGAGCTAAAAATAGATTCTTGATAACGAAAACTATGACGAAATGCATATTTAGTTTTCGTTGACAAGACGGGAATAAGGTGTTAATGGTGGACTATCGGACATTCAAAATGCAGCATATTTTCCCCCAAGTGTCCGTCTTGTCTGTCAAAATGCATCTTACGTTTCTAACTTGCAATATCATTATTTCCGCTCTCTTCACTCCAGAAGAGCGATCTCCCTGTATCTTTCTGTGTGCTGGGGGGGGTTATCTCTAAGCGGTTGACCAATCACAACAGAGCCTGCCAGCTAACCAATCAGAGTAGTCTGGGCTCTGGTTTCAGACAGAGGGTGAAAAGAGGTGCTGCAGCACAGACAGGATGAGAAAAATAAAGAGCTTTTTGAACATTAAAGCATGGAGACATGAAGAGACACTACATACTGATATACACCTGAACATCAGCAGGAGAGGACTCTTTAAAGTAGAGACACTACATACTGATATACACCTGAACATCAGCAGGAGAGGACTCTTTAAAGTAGAGACACTACATACTGATATACACCTGAACATCAGCAGGAGAGGACTCTTTAAAGTCGAGACACTACATACTGATATACACCTGAACATCAGCAGGAGAGGACTCTTTAAAGTAGAGACACTACATACTAATATACACCTGAACATCAGCAGGAGAGGACTCTTTAAAGTAGAGACACTACATACTGATATACACCTGAACATCAGCAGGAGATGACTCTTTAAAGTAGAGACACTACATACTGATATACACCTGAACATCAGCAGGAGAGGACTCTTTAAAGTAGAGACACTACATACTGATATACACCTGGACATCAGCAGGAGAGGACTCTTTAAAGTAGAGACACTACATACTGATATACACCTGAACATCAGCAGGAGAGGACTCTTTAAAGTAGAGACACTACATACTGATATACACCTGAACATCAGCAGGAGAGGACTCTTTAAAGTAGAGACACTACATACTGATATACACCTGAACATCAGCAGGAGAGGACTCTTTAAAGTAGAGACACTACATACTGATATACACCTGAACATCAGCAGGAGAGGACTCTTTAAAGTAGAGACACTACATACTGATATACACCTGAACATCAGCAGGAGAGGACTCTTTAAAGTAGAGACACTACATACTGATATACACCTGGACATCAGCAGGAGAGGACTCTTTAAAGTAGAGACACTACATACTGATATACACCTGAACATCAGCAGGAGAGGACTCTTTAAAGTAGACACTACATACTGATATACACCTGAACATCAGCAGGAGAGGACTCTTTAAAGTAGAGACACTACATACTGATATACACCTGAACATCAGCAGGAGAGGACTCTTTAAAGTAGAGACACTACATACTGATATACACCTGAACATCAGCAGGAGAGGACTCTTTAAAGTAGAGACACTACATACTGATATACACCTGAACATCAGCAGGAGAGGACTCTTTAAAGTAGAGACACTACATACTGATATACACCTGAACATCAGCAGGAGAGGACTCTTTAAAGTAGAGACACTACATACTGATATACACCTGAACATCAGCAGGAGAGGACTCTTTAAAGTAGAGACACTACATACTGATATACACCTGGACATCAGCAGGAGAGGACTCTTTAAAGTAGAGACACTACATACTGATATACACCTGAACATCAGCAGGAGAGAACTCTTTAAAGTAGAGACACTACATACTGATATACACCTGAACATCAGCAGGAGAGGACTCTTTAAAGTAGAGACACTACATACTGATATACACCTGAACATCAGCAGGAGAGGACTCTTTAAAGTAGAGACACTACATACTGATATACACCTGAACATCAGCAGGAGAGGACTCTTTAAAGTAGAGACACTACATACTGATATACACCTGAACATCAGCAGGAGAGGACTCTTTAAAGTAGAGACACTACATACTGATATACACCTGAACATCAGCAGGAGAGGACTCTTTAAAGTAGAGACACTACACACTGATATACACCTGAACATCAGCAGGAGATGACTCTTTAAAGTAGAGACACTACATACTGATATACACCTGAACATCAGCAGGAGAGGACTCTTTAAAGTAGAGACACTACATACTGATATACACCTGAACATCAGCAGGAGAGGACTCTTTAAAGTAGACACTACATACTGATATACACCTGAACATCAGCAGGAGAGGACTCTTTAAAGTAGAGACACTACATACTGATATACACCTGAACATCAGCAGGAGAGGACTCTTTAAAGTAGAGACACTACATACTGATATACACCTGAACATCAGCAGGAGAGGACTCTTTAAAGTAGAGACACTACATACTGATATACACCTGAACATCAGCAGGAGAGGACTCTTTAAAGTAGAGAGACACTACATACTGATATACACCTGAACATCAGCAGGAGAGGACTCTTTAAAGTAGAGACACTACATACTGATATGAACCGTAAAATGAGCAGTGAATACGTCCTCTTTTTCATCGGTGGTAAAACGCAGGATTTGAACAATGACGGCCTTTCAGGGAACAACATTTCTGTGAACTTCTTGCCTGTTTTGAGCTCGTAGATCCTCCTCTGTTCTGGTCACCTCTCGCTGATGTTTTCCTGCCCACAGCACGGCCCGCCACGCCCGCCAGGCTCTCAGCTGCCGCTTCCAGTCACAGAGGGCTGTGACCTTCCCTAACCGCAGCCTTCTGTCCAACACCACTGAATACCATCCAGAGAAATGCCTCTGCAAACACTGAAACGACAGCATGACAGGTTGGAAATCACAATGAGACATGTGCAAACTTCCACCCACAGCACAGGTACGGACCTTGAGACTACGCAAGTCAGTCATGGCTTGAATTTTCTTTTCTTGATACCGCCGCTCTGTGTCCTGCAGCAGATGTTTTGTGGGCAGTGGAGGAGCAGGCTGGAGGCTCTTGACTCCCCTCTGCCCTTCCACCCTCACCCTTTCTCTGGGGAATAGACAAACATGTACTTCTTATTTTACCAGGACCCTGTAAAGAATAGCAATCATCCCAAAAAGTTGCAAAAGTGCACGTCAGACCAGTATAGATTTTTGTGTAGACCCACGTAGTAAAGAAACTAGTAACAATTAAATTTCATGCCCTTCAAAGTTGTATTTTAATTTTATTATCATTTATTTCATGGCCAGGCAATTAAAATGATATGTTTATCAATAAAGGTTTAATTGAGGACTATCATAAATGCATCAGTTTGATTTGCATGGTTATTATTTTTCTCATTTGCAGTCACTTTGTAAATCATTGCCAAACACTTCCCTCTGTTCTCTGAGGCTTTCCTGATCGTTATTATGAAAGTTCCCTGAGGCTTTATTTACAAAACCTTTTTCTGGTTCACACTTTGAAAGAGATTACAACAGCTTCGTCCAGGGACTCGTCCACAGCACTTGTTTGGGTCAGGGATCTGTGTCTCTTCTCACTAGGTTACCATCAATCCATCATAGGAAGGGGGAAGAGGCCGGATCACGATCGATGCAATCACACAGGAGTTAATCTCAGATACCGGGCGATAAGCACATCAGCAGCTGTTGCCGTGGATACCATACCTCTGTCGAACCAGCTGTTCCAGGCCTCTCCGCTCCTCCCTCTGCCGCCGCAGCCTCACCATCTCCTGCTGCAGCTTCTCCTCCTGCTGCCTCCTCCTCGCCTCCTCGCCTCGCTCCCTCCTCCTCGCCTCCCCTCTGGCCTCCCGCAGAGCCTCCCCCTCTCTCTGTTGCCTCAGCCTCTCGACCTCCCGCCTCGCTCTGTTCTCTCGCACCTTCAACGGCAATCAGTGGCAATTAGTATGAGCGAGAAACACAGCTTGGGCGCCGGCGGATTCTCCTCACGGCTGATAGTTTCCCGACCCCTCAGCGCTCACATCTCTTATCTCGAGGAAGTCGTGATGTGCTCGGGTCACGTACCTGCAGTTGTCGAGCTTCCATGGAGACGATTGGGTTTCTGAATTTCTTCCTTAATTGTCCAACATCCAGCACCAGTTCCTCCATCACCTCAGAGTCCAACAGCTCCTGCTCCATCAGGTCCTGGAGGAAGCTGTTCACCGCGCTGTGCTCTTCCTCCTCCGCCAGGCAGTTATACAGATCTTTGCAGTTGTACAAAAACAAGTATTATATTGTGACCGTGTTGCAAAGCATACAATACACTTTTGGATTGATCTGCTGTCCTTGATTTGCTCCTATAAAATCAAACGTCGACATTTAAGATGTGGAAGTCACTTGTTAAAAAAACAATGCATTCACAAGTCATGTTGTAGGAATATGAAACACAAAAACATGAAATGGTCTGAAATGTTACGCTTTTATAATATAATAGTCACTCAAGTTGAGCTAATTTGTTTGCTTAACTAACTTTTGGCCAAAAAAGTAATACATTTGAGGTCATATGTTTCCCAAACTGTACCGTTACACATTTTTAGATAACCTTAAGAGTAGTTAACGCCTAAAATTGAAATATAGGTTATATAGGTTTATGTGCATGTCAATGGTCTGCAAAGGCTAAAATCCCTTGAACATGAGCATCATTTGTCCTCTTTAAAAAATGCATCTCCTTCATTGTGACCTGGTTTACACGAGGATGAGTTTGTGTTGTCAGGGTTACACGATAGCTGTTAAATCTTTCAAAGTTGTTCTGCACCAACCTTTTGAAGTATTTAACTGCTTCAATTCTTAATTCCTATTATGTGGCTTGTTACGTCAAATCAAAACCTTACCGTTCCCATTAAGGCCGGGTAATTTGAACTTTTCTTGATTTATTCACTCTTAGACGCTTTTATCCAAAGCGACTTACATACTCAATACTGTGGACAATCCCCACAGGAGCAAATTGGGGTTTAGTGTCTCAGGGACACAACGACATGCTGACTGCAGTGCCCTGATCCGAACATCAACACACTAACCCACTGCGCCACACGCCTCCCTAAACTAAACAGGTTGCGTTGTTTTTGTCTTTACCATCAAAGTTGCTGTGGTTCAGGGCGGCAGGCGGAGAACTATCAGGGCTTCTCCTCTCACCGGAGCACCTCAGGTCATCGTCCTCCTCCACCTCCAGCTCCACACGCAGCTTGCTGTTCAGCCAATCAGCGAGCAGAGCCTGAGCTGCAATACATTATGGTTCAGTCTGCTGCAGCGGCTCAACTCCCTTATAGGTAACGCCTCCCTTGAGACACCTATAATTATGTGTTAAAGGCTGACCTACCTTCACTATAAGCGTCATCATGATCTCTTAACTGCTCAGAGCTTTGTAGAGATTCAACTCGGCTCTTCTTCCCTGAATGAGGTTTCTTGTGGATGAAGACTTCTGATACAGCAAACTCTGAAGCAGCCTCCACGCGCTGAAGACGAATATAATGACTATTACCATGATCCGATGTTATTCAATAATTTGGTCAATGCACATCAGTCAAAGGTGACATGCTTTTTTCAAAACCACACATAGGTGAACTCCTCTCACCTTCCTCCATTGATCGATATCATCTATCTTCGCATGCATCTGTTATAGGAACAAACACATATGTGAAGTGTAAACCAATAGTTCAAGATAGAGTAGGGTCAACAAAAAAAAACAGCCAAGACCCCCTTATCTGGATCTGAAGTCTAACTCACTTATTTGTAGTGTGTGTGTCTGTTTGTGTTTATAACATTTTGTATGCTTCCCTCTTTGCCACGTTGCTCTTGAATACGAACTTAGACTCATGAGACTTTGACCGGGATAAATAAAGTATAACCTATAAATATATGGACACCTTGAGCTGTGGGAGCAGCGTGCAAATTGAGGGCTCAGCCAATGCCTGCGCCTGTGGATTATTTTTCGGAAAGTTTAGCCACTGCCTTAAATCTTCAGATTATTGGAGAATCATTTTCCAGACTTCCAAAAATCTGTGCTTTACTTTATCAGCAATTCAGCTATGTCTGTCTCATGCTGCAGAGAAAGGCCATTTATACGACATTTCTGAACCGTCCCCTGACATGAGCCATGTTTAATACATAGTATTAACACTGGGGGGCTTCGGCTTTATTCATGAATCCAATATGAGCCTTTTTACAAGTATGTTATCTCTGTAGTGTAGGGGATAAAATCATCCTGAGGAAAGTCTTCAAATTGAAAATAGATTGAAAATCATTTCAAATAATTGAAAAGTGTTGATGTGAGTTGGGATGGATGATCAGTTCCCTTGTTGAATCAGAATTAGAAACCCCACACCTTTTAATTTAACATAAATCCAGAGACCAACCCTACCTTGTCTGCAGTTTTACTCTCGCCAAGCCTCCTCCCGAACAGGTGAGGGTTGGGACCTGGGGAGGTCATAGTCTGTTTAGTAATATATATTTACCTCTGCTACTATAATCTTATCTTAACCACCATTCCATAGTTTAAAAACAGCTCCAAAAACCAATTATTTTACTGTTTTTATATCATCAAAAAGTGTTCAGAAGTCTTCTCAAAGTGCCCTCGCAAAAGCAAGACCTGTACACAACCGCTATCGATATGAATCACAAGTCAATCTGGGTAATGTAGTCCCTTAACAATTTTTCTAAGGCAAATGTCGTGTCAACAAAGCACTTTAGGACTACATCGCCCAGTCACGCTTTGTTTGTAACTCTTGGTAACCATAGCAACGTTATTTCCCTCTCTGAATGAGCCACATTTACGTTTAGAATGTAATAAAACGTAAGAATAGAGTAAAACATAATAATGATAATAAGACTACATATTTAAATGTTCGTAAAGGGGTTTTTATTAAAAAAGGAAGCCACTCTTATATCGTAGTTTACACATAGTATGCCGCGACTGATGATGACGTCATATTCAGGCGACTTGTAGTGCCTGTGAGTTTTGTAGGTAGACGAATGAAAGTAGCTCTTATATTAAACGCTTATACAATTCAAACCAGCACAACAGTGATAAATAGGGTTTCTTATCGTCTCTTAAAGAGTGTTTATCATTTTAAATAGACGTAAGGGTAAATAAAGTATCACGTGATTAGTTAAGCTAGTTAGCTACGTGGCTAATTCACGTGTGTTTTGGAGCCGCTGTTTTTAAACTCGTTGTGCTGCTACTCCCAGTGTATGGCTGGCTGCAGGATGAAGCTGGAGCTGTCCCGTGTGGCGCTGGGCAAAGGTCGGCTCGGGGTCCTGAAGGGGCTCGGTAAGACAGGGCAGCTCTCTCTGGAGGTCCCGGGGTGTCTGCTGCACACACACCTGGGCACCGTGCCCCACCTCACTCAGGACACCCTGAGCACCCTGAGCACCCTGCCCTCTGTCACCCAGATCACCCTGTCCAATATGTAAGTGTACAATGTGTGTATTACAATTAAGGGTGCAATTATTACATTACATTACATTGCATTTAGCTGACGCTTTTATCCAAAGCGACTTACAATAAGTACATTCGACCAGGAAGACACAACCTTGAAGAAAACATAATCATATAAGTACATCAGGTTTCATAGAGCCAAACATTTCAAGTGCTACTCAACTGGCTTTAGGTAAGCCAGTCCTTTATTAGTATAAAAGTGCTTCGTTAATAATTCTAACGCTCGAAGTGGAGTCGAAAGAGATGAGTTTTCAGTTTGCGCCGGAAGATGTGCAAGCTATCTGCCGTCCTGATGTCAATGGGGAGCTTATCCATCAAGGACATTATCTGTATATGTTTAATATACAAAATTAATCAATATAGACTGTTATTTTGTATATTGTTGTGCTTTTATGTATGTCTTGATGTGTGCATATGTATACATGCATGTGTATATATAGGTATACATATTTTTTAATATATATTGTA